ACACCAAGGAGAAAAAACCTGAAGCCAAGAAGGCTGATGCTGGCAGCAAGGTTAAAAGGGCTAAGAAGGTAAAGAAGGTAAAGAAGGGGAGGCCCCATTGCAGCCGCAACCCTGTCCTGGTCAGAGGAATTGGCCGATATTCCCGATCGGCTATGTATTCCAGAAAGGCCTTGTACAAGAGGAAGTATTCAGCAGCTAAATCCAAGGTTGAAAAGAAAAAGAAGGTGAGGGTTCTTGCTACTGTCACAAAACCAGTTGGTGGTGACAAGAATGGTGGTACCCGAGTGGTCAAGCTTCGCAAAATGCCTAGATATATCCTACTGAAGATGTGCCTCGAAAGCTGTTGAGCCATGGCAAGAAACCCTTCAGTAAGCACGTGAGGAAACTGCGTGCCAGCATCACTCCGGGGACCATTCTCATCATCCTCACTGGGTGTCACAGAGGCAAGAGGGTCATTTTCCTAAAGCAGCTGAGCAGTGGTTTGCTTCTTGTGACTGGACCTCTGTCCCTCAATCGAGTTCCTCTGCGTAGAACACACCAGAAATTTGTTATTGCCACCTCCACCAAAATTGACATCAGTGGTGTAAAAATCCCAGAACATCTCACTGATACTTACTTCAAAAAGAAGAAGCTGCGTAAGCCGAGACACCAGGAAGGCGAGATCTTCGACACAGAGAAAGAGAAATACGAGATTACAGAGCAGCGCAAGGCTGATCAGAAAGCTGTGGACTCACAAATTCTGCGAAGAATCAAAGCTGTCCCTCAGCTCCAGGGCTACCTCCGCTCTGTGTTTGCTCTCACAAATGGAATTTATCCTCACAAATTGGTGTTCTAAACTTACTACAGAGAACCTAATTAAAGAATGGATCTGTTTCCTTTGTGTCTTTAAAAAAAAAAAAACAAAACTAGTCCTGATACACGATTATACAAGTTGAGAAGTATATTATTTCAAATTCTGAAAAGCCCTTGATATAGTGATTTGATAGTGCAGGAATCTGTATTAAAATACATTTAAAACTTAGAATTTGTAAATGTGAGAGGACTCAGAAAAAATATAAGCAACTTTCACCTTAGTAAGATAATCATATAATGTTTCATAGAGCTCTAGAAAAGATTTTTTTAAAAATTAATATCTTTAGTTGCAAGTATAACACATGATCATTGTGTTATGTTGGAAAGAAGAAAGGGCAAAGATGAATCCCATTATAACTACTAAACCAGCGACAGTGCTGATGTTTGCTATGTACTCATCCCTTCGTTTCTCTTTACTTCTCTTTCCTCTGAAAATATAGGCTGTTTTTCTTTTCTTTGTGCTTAAAGTCTATTTTTAAACTTAAAACCATTTTAAAAGAAATACAACGTATATGTTCATTCCAAATGTAATCACTCTTTATATTACTTAATAACAGTATAAAATTATTTTTGTCATAATTGTTGTGACCATTTTACTATTGTTGGACATTTAATTTGTTTCAAGATTTAAATGGCATTTTTATAAATGTTAAGATCATTAAATCCTCTCTCCACTCCAATAAATATTTCTTGAGTGAGTGAATGAATGAAATATCTGCACATATCTACTATTCCTACCTAATTTGTATGTAT